TGTTTGCCCTCATGTGTCTGTCCACCTATTTGTGCGATTGTCTATGTATCGGTTGTTTGTGTCTGTTGTAGATTTCGTTAATGTTATTTTGATTCGTTCTTTTTTATTTATACTCCTTAGATATATCATGGCGACACCCCAGACATACCCCTGCCTGCTTTGTGATAAAGTGTTCACGCAACCACATAACCTTAGCCGATATATCAGGAGCTTACATGATAAACTAAGGCACACGTGCTCCTTCTGTAGTCGTATATACGATCGTCCTGATAATTTAAAACGGCATGTTTCAACGGTACATGCGGTAGGTCCGTCAAAACGACCTGCCAATAACCAACCTACCGCTTCAAAACAACAAAAGACAACGACAGAGGCCAACGACTATAAACAGATGAATGATATTTTACAAATTAATGAAATCAGAATCATGGGCAAACCACGGAGAACAAAAGCAAGGCTATGCAATGATTCACCAGGTCAGTTCTATCGAAGCATCAAGGCTATGAGACTGAGAGAAGAGAAATTTAACCCATCAAAGATCATAAACAGCAAGGCTAAAAAACCACTCACCAAATCCCAAGATGTTAAAAGAAGATGGCAAGAATATTTTTCTGAATTACTGAATAGTGGACCACAAGAACCAGTGTCTAATAAAATAAAATTTGGACAAGAACAAGAACCTAATATATTAGAATCTGAAGTTGAAAAGATCCTAAAGCAAAGCAAAAGAAACAAAGCGGCCGGAACAGATGGTATTACAACAGTCATAATACTTGCATGTAAGGCAACAGCAGTAAAATGGCTGACAAGAATATTCAATATGGCCTGGGAGGAAATGAAAGTTCCCGTTGACTGGCAGAGAGCAATTATAGTTCCCATATGGAAGAAGAAAGGTGATAAACGAGATTGTGAAACATACAGAGGTATCTCTTTACATAGCCATGTAGGAAAGATGTTTGCAAAAATATTAGAACGAAGAGCGAGGGTGATATTAGAACCTCAATTAAGTAACAGCCAGTTTGGATTTCAAAAAGGAAAGAGCTGCACTGATGCAATATTTACGCTTCGGCAAATTTGTGAACAGACAATCGAATATAATAAACACCAGAATCTTATATTCATTGATCAAGAGAAGGCTTTTGACAGTGTTAACAGAAATAGACTATGGAACATTCTTGAAGAATATGGTGTACCGGGTCAATTATTGGGAAACATAATGGCTCTCTATCAAAATAGCCAGAGCGCTGTAAGAACAACGGAAGGTATGACAGACTGGTTCCCCATTACATCAGGAGTACGACAAGGATGTGTCCTATCACCCCTACTCTTCATCACATATATGGATAAAATTGCACAGGAGTCAAACCAAAACACAGACATTATAAATGAACTAATCTTTGCAGATGACCAATGTTTGTTACAAGAAGAAGAACAAAAACTACAACAACATGTTGATTCATTGCTCACTAACTGTGCAAAATTTGACATGAAAATAAACACCTCAAAAACTGAAGTAATGACCATAGGAAAGAAACACAGTAATGTAAACATAAAGATCAATGACATACAATTAGATCAAGTTCAAGAATTCAAGTACTTAGGATGCATATTTACGGAAGATGGAAGACTCGATAAAGAGATACAGGCTAGAGTTCAAAAAGCCAATGCAGTCAACTACCAACTGGCCCCACTTCTTCGTCATCCAAAGATCTCGTTACCAGCCAAACAACGGATGATCAACAGTATTTTAATCCCTACGTTATGTTATCAGTGCCAAACGTGGACAATGAACAAATCACATATGCAAAAAATAACTACGTGTGAAATGCGATGTCTTCGAAGAGTCACCAACAATACACGAAGAGACAGAGTCACAAATGTCAGCATTAGAGACAAAGTTGGAACAAGAGCATGCATGAAACATATTGAAAGACATAGAATGACGTGGTTTGGCCATTTAGTAAGAATGTAACCGGATCAGATTGCCTATAAGGCCTTTTACAGTAGAACATCGGGAAGAAAGGCCAGAGGAAGACCCAGGGAAAAATGGATAGATGGGGTAGCTGAATACGGCCAGAAGATCCAGAAAACTGTCACTCAAATCACGCGAGAGGCACATAACAAATATTTTAAACCACGACACTGGGCTGCAACCCGGTAAAAGTGAAGAAGACAATAGATAGATAGAATGAAATATTACAAGACATTAACCAAGACGAACTGGACACCATATTTGAAAAAGGGTTGACAATGATGCACATGACGAACTACAGAAATTACTCGACGCAGACGAAGCATTATAAAAACTGATTGACGGAGTCAAACCATGCGTTCACTGAAAAGCAGGCCCTTACCCCCGAACTCCGAGGTAGTGGCACATATCAGGATACTTTGCACCTTTTGTTTTAAAAAGATCCCTTTATGTTTATTAAAGATATAAATAAAGCGGCGCATACTTTTGCTTGCCCCAAGTTTGGTAAATTGTGGGATTTATTTTATAAAATGTCAAGATATGAGAAAACCTGTAACGGAGGTCATTCCAAGCAGTGTTACAAAGGTGGTGTTTATAAGACACCTGAAAATATCTGGGAAGCCATTACCTCCTACGGCATCGCTGTCGACACGAAATAGGCGTATCCCTACAGAACAACCTTTGATTTTGAGTGCTATTTTGATACTAGCAACCATCCAGCTGGAGGTAGTGCCACACATTTTTTAGCCTTGTCTTGTTCTGTAGCCTTTAACGTCCCCGATATGAAAGGTCCTGTTTGTTTTATTACAAAGGGGATCCACAAGAATTGGTCGATAGATTGCTGGCTCATTTAGATAAGATTGCCAGGAAGGCTAACGGCGATCTACTCGAAACATTTGAAGGTGTTTATAAAGCTCTAAACGATTTAGGAGATAACAAGGTGGTTGAGCGCTTGGATGCTTATTTAAAAGAGCTCGCAATTCTCGGTTTCAATTCTGGAAAATATGACATTAATTTGATCAAACCCTATTTGGTCAAATACTCTATCAACCAGGATCGTGATGCTTTTAAATATATGGTCAAAAGAAATCAGAATTTTATGTGCATTTCGACACAAAAATTGAAAGTTCCTGGATATGTCCAACTATCTGGCCCCTGGCTTCTCGTACTCAAAACATTTGTCTTCTTTCGATATTTCTGAAATTAAAGTTTTTTTTTGTTTTGTTACTAATATATTACCAGCTTGCGATGATTAGATGAAACAGCTTTACTCCTCATGTAGCGTTCTTTTCTTCTCTGAAAAATTCTAATATTTCTGCTGATGACTATTCTTTCTGTCAAAAAGTCTGGGTCGCTCGTAAAATGACCACTCTTAGAGATTTTCTTGTCTGGTATAACAACAAAGATGTAGTTCCTTTCATAGCCACTTTAGAGAAACAGGTCCTTTTTTATTCTAGTTTAGTAGTTTATCTCACAGTACCTCCTTCGAAACCACTAAGTCGTCTTGTCTCTGGCCGAAATAATAACACCATCCGGTAATCTGTGCAGCGGGGAAGCACCCCTGAGCTTCATGAACTCAGGTGGGCCCACCTCCGAATACGTTTAGGAATCGTGGGCCGAAACGTGTGTTGAAAGAGGATAATTTCTACTGATGACTGTAGATCCCCGCTGTACTTGCTCCCTGTGAGTTTATTCTTATTGTACGTGGCTAGCCCACAAGACTACCAGGAAAGACTGGTGACTATCGGGAAAGACCTTTTGACACCTTTGGAAAGACTGGCCCCCCGGTATCGCCGGGGGGATAAACTGACATCTGGAGACAGATGTCGACTGTGGACCGGGTTGATCACCCCTAACACAGTATAATACCTCCGATTTCGTACGACCACAATGAAATATGCCCCCAGGCCCTCCGAAAGGGGGGGGGGGGGGAGAATAAAGGGCCCAATCTGATTGATACCCTCGTTGACGACTTTGCTAGCCCCCGGACTGAGACACTCGCCCAACGTCCGGGCTGGCTCTGTACATGTGGGAAAAGCTTCACGGGGTTGCATGGGTCTGAGAACGCATGCCGGAAGAATGAAATGCGAGGGTGCTCCACGCAGTAAACGCCGTCGCAAAACTACCACTCCTGTGGTAGTTTCTGAGTCGTCAGGGTACGACGGGCAGGGTGAACCCCACTCGCCCGGAGAGGCCCATGACGTCGACTGCGGAGGAGCACCTTTGATGATTTCTGAAGAAGTGCGTTCCAAGATCAGGTTTCCACCTGCGAGCGAGAAGGTGGTGTGGTGTAAGTTGGAGGCTACATTATGTGAGGTACTTAAACAAACTCTAAACAAGAAGTCGCTAGGCGACAAGCTTACTAAATTTGGTGATGTAATATATGAACACTGCTCCCGCGAGTTCGGGACAGTAGTAAAGGCACAGCCGGGTGCCAAGCAGAATACTAGCAGGAGGCAGAGGGACATTCTGAAGTGTCGGGCAGACAAGAATGCCCTCAGAAAACGGTTCAAAGCCGCTACAGGCAGCGAACGGGAGGGGCTGTACGAAGTTTGGTTGCATTTAAAGAACAAACACAGTGCCCTCTGTCGTGCCGAGCGTTTCTGTAACAACAGACGCAGAACCAAAAGGGAGCGAGAGAAATTCTTTAGGGACCCGTATCAGTTCGCCCGAGGTCTATTCGAGCAACCGAAGTCTGGGACTCTGGTTGTCAGTCAGGAAGAACTAGAGCTACATCTACGCAAGATGTACTCGGATTAAAAGAGGAGAGAGCCTCTCGATGACAATCCAGAGATCCTTAGCGGACTCAAACAGCCTTCGGTGCCGAAGGTACCATTTAAACTGGTACCTCCCCTTTGGTCTGAGGTTGAGGACGTTGTGAAAAAAGCCAGCGGCAAGTCTGCCCCAGGTCCGAACGGTGTTCCGTACGTTCTTTACAAGCGTTGCCCGAAAATCCTTAAAATGCTTCACGTCTTGTTGAGACAAGCGTGGATCCGCAATCACATATGTCCAGAGTGGTCAAAGGCAAATGGGGTCTACATTCCCAAAGAGCAGGACTCGAAGAGTCTTTCCCAATTCAGGCCCATCTCGCTGTTTAAATGTTGAGGGTAAGATATTCTTCTCAGTCATGGCTCGCCGGCTCACACAGTATCTGATGACTAACAAGTACATAGATACGAGTGTTCAGAAGGGTGGCATTCCAGGCGTTCCTGGGTGCCTTGAACACGCGACCATGATTTGGGAGGCTATCCAGAGAGCCAAGCATGAGAGAACCGATTTGCACGTTATATGGTTGGACTTAGCCAACGCCTACGGGGCAGTCCCCCATAGGCTACTGTGGCGAGCCCTTCGCATGTTTCACGTACCGACACAGATCAGTCAAATGGTCGAGCAATATTTCTCTAAGTTCGCTTTGCGCTTCTCTACCTCGACGTTTACCACGAGGTGGACTGAGTTGCAGATTGGGATAGCTATGGGCTGTACGATCTCACCCATACTGTTTGTCATGGCAATGCAGATCTTGTTAGACGGGGCGGCCGGCTACGGACTGGGCCTTCAAATAGGGGATCACTGGTTGCCGCCACTGCGCGCATTTATGGATGACACGACTATTATAACGGGCAGCGAGGAGTCTGCCCGCACGATCCTGAATAGATTGGACGCGGTGGTCCAATGGAGCGGTATGCAGTTCAAACCGCAGAAGTCGAGGAGTCTGTCAATCCATAAGGGCAAAGTGTCGGCGATCAGTTTTACGGTGGCAAGGAACAAGATCCCTACGGTTCTGGAGGAACCGGTGAAGAGTCTCGGTCGCGTTTACGATTCGAAGTTATCTGACAGAGCGGAAGTCCGGCGAATACATGAGTCACTGGCTACAGGCCTGCTCGCGATCGAGCGATGCAGGCTGGTCGGAAAATTCAAGGTATGGTGTCTCCAATTCATGTTGATTCCGAAACTCCTATGGCCACTGTTATAGTCTACGAGGTGACGATGACTGCAGTTGAAGCCATGGAAAAGAAAATCAATACAGCCTTAAGAAAGTGGATTGGAGCACCGCCTTGTCTGACCGACGTGGCTCTGTATTGCAAACAGGCTAAGCTGGTACTTCCGTTCAAGTCGATAACCGAAGAGTTTAAAGTCGGCAAGGTAAGGCTCGCCATGCTCTTGCGTGAGTCTTCAGACCCAAATGTCATCGCTGTCCAGCCCGCTCTAAAGACTGGAACCAAGTGGAGAGTCCTCGATGCGATAGAATCTGCTCAGAACGCACTAAAATTGAAGGAGATTATGGGTTACACACAAACCGACCGTCGAGGCCTAGGGCACGGGAAGGTCAATTGGTGGTCAAAGGCCTCAGCCAAAGAACGATACAAACGGTGAGGGACAACGAAAACGAGGTTCGGGTCCAGAAAGCAGCCTAGCAGTCGCAGCAGGGCCATTGGGTCAGCCTGGAGAGTGCATTGCCGAGAATACTCACATGGGGTGAGATCTGGCGGATGACCCCGCTGCGACTGAGCTTTATCGTTCGTTCGGCGTACGATGTATTACCGTCCGGTGTTAACATGGTTAAATGGTCTGCGACCAACGATCCGACTTGCCCGTTGTGCAAATCAAAGCAAACTCTTGAGCACGTCCTGTCCGCGTGCAGGAAAGCTCTAGGTCAAGGCCGATACACCTGGCGCCACAACAAGGTGCTAAAGGAGTTAGCAGCCGTTGTCGACCAGGCTAGAATGAGGGCTAATGCCAGAGCCAGTTCTAGTATCGCCCCCATTCGTTTCCTCAAGGCTGGGCAGGTTCCAAAAGGTAAGGTCAACCAAAACGCATTCGCTCCATCGGTGCTAGACTCTGCGAGGGACTGGTTACTGGCGGTTGATCTGCCAGGCCATGAACGGTATCCCGAGTTGATCCGTAAAACCGGCCTGCGACCGGACATCGTTCTCCATTCTGCGCAAAAACGGCAGCTCATCCTGATTGAGTTGACGGTCCCGTTTGAGTCGCGTATGGAGGAGAATCACTTGTACAAGCTCGAAAAGTACAGTGATTTAGCAGCCGGTTTGAGGAGAAACGAGGCTTACACAGTAAGGGTTTTTGCCGTCGAAGTGGGAGCGAGAGGCCTCGTTTCCACTTCGCTCTACAATGTGGTTAAAGAATTAGGATTGCGCGGTAATGAACGGAAACGAACACTTAAAAAACTGGGAGAGGCAGCCGAAAGGGCCTCTAGCTGGCTGTGGACGCAGCGCAACAACGTAGGGGACGGGCCTCGGTGAGCTGGTCCGGGGTATCTAGTGGAAAAGAGTTTCTTATCCCTTTGAAAGTCCATCGTGTACGAATTGTCTGCCAGTGTTCCTCTGCCAACTGCTAATAAAAGTTCAACATGTGTCCGGTAAACCAAAGTAAGCTTGTCGCTCGGTCGTCCAGGCACGCTGACTGTTCTAATTAAGCTGCCGCGGCGGCTTCTTATCTCACAGTACCTCCTTCGAAACCACTAAGTCGTCTTGTCTCTGGCCGAAATAATAACACCATCCGGTAATCTTTGCAGCGGGGAAGCAGCCCTGAGCTTCATGAACTCAGGTGGGCCCACCTCCGAATACGTTTAGGAATCGTGGGCCGAAACGTGTGTCGAAAGAGGATAATTTCTACTGATGACTGTAGATCCCCGCTGTACTTGCTCCCTGTGAGTTTATTCTTATAGGCGTAGACATGATCAAACAAGCAATTTCTGTGCCGGGGGTTACCCTTCGTTATTTGTTTCAAACTCTGCCCTCAAATTTATCCTTCTCACCCTGTTCCAAACACGAGGCCGGACTCCATCAGACACAGAGAGATAATATTGTTGGTGGACCAAGTCTTGTTTTTTCACCGTCACCATGCAAAGGATCAGACCCAGATCAGAGGGGGTAAGATGGTGCAGAGTATCAAAGGTTATGATACCAATGCGCTATATCTTTGGGCCCTGATGCAGGAAATGCCGACTGATGTTCCTTTTGTAAGGAAAGCGGAGAAGGGGCTCCGTCTTGAGAAATACAACTGCTATACCGTCCAGAATAGAGAATGGTTAGCTTAGGTGGCCCATACAGATAAGGTAGCCCTTAAAACACAGCTTAATGGACGTGAGATGAGTTTGGGCAACAGGCATATTAGAGTGGACTGGTGGGCACTAATCACTCGTACCGCCTACCAGTTTCAAGGTTGCCTATTTCACGGTCATCAAAACTGTTGTAAGAACCAGGGTAAAACTTTTAATCCGGTTAATCAGAAACCCCTGGTGGAATTGTTTGAAAACTCCAGGGAGATTTCCCACTATTTGAGGACTGAGTAGGCGTTAGTGTGATAAAAATGTGGGAATGTGAGTGGCAGAAACTCATACAAACTGAACCCGTTAAAACGTTTTTGTGGGAATGTGAGTGGCAGAAACTCATAAAAACTGAACCCGTTAAAACGTTTTTGACCAGTAGATTTCCCCGTGTGAAACCCCCAATGGGATGCCTATCCATAACAGAGAAGACAATTCTAGAAAAAGTCCGCAAGAATACATTTTTTTGGTCTGGTAGAATGTGACATTTCTGTGCCTGACAAACTAAAACCAAAATTTGAAGAAATGACGCCCATCTTTAAAAACATAGAAGTGAGTAGGGACGATCTAAGTGATTGTATTAAGAAATATACTATCGACCATAAATTAATGACGTCACCACCTAGAACCTTGATAGGTAGTTATATAGGCACCAAAATTTTGTTAGCTACCCCGTTGTTAAAATGGGATCTTGAAAAGGGTTAAGTGGTGACTCGAATCTACCAGATTATTGAATATCAGCCAGTCAGATGCTTCCAGCAGTTTGGGGATACCGTGTCAGAGGCCAGACGTTTGGGGGATAGTGATTCGTCAAAGGCCCTTACCGGTGAAGCCATGAAATTATTGGGGAACGCCGCGTATGGTGAAACTTTGACCAACAAGTCAAAACATACCGACGTATCTTACTGTCTTGGGGATAGTACCTCAACCAAAGTCAACAATCCTCTATTCAAACAAATGACCCACCTGACTGAGGATATTTATGAGGTAGAGTTGTTGAAGAAGAACACTGTATGGAATCTCCCTCTCCTGAAAGTTTTTGTCATTTATCAGTACGCTTAACTGAGAATGTTAGAATTTTATTATGATTTCCTAGACACATTTATAGACAGGTCAAATTTTCAGCTGTGTGGGATGGACACAGATAGTTTGTATTTAGCTCTAAGCAGCGATAATCTTTCTGACGTTGTTAGACCCCACCTTCGCCTCAAGTTCTACTCTGTTTACGATCAGTGGTTTCCGTCAGAAACGTGTCCTGCTCACAAGTCTACCTTTATTTCCACCGAAGGTAACGTTCCTTTAGACTGTCAGGCCTGTCGAGATAGGAAACTATGAAAAGAGAACGCCAGGGCTGTTTAAATTAGAATACGAGGGGGATGGCATGATATCCTTGTGTAGTAAAACCTATCATTGTTACGGTGAGAACAGAAAAACTAGCACTAAAGGTCTTTCAAAACATCATAATAATTAGACAGAGACACATTTTTGAAAGTCTTTGACGCACAAAAACCAGAAGGAGGTACCAATATTGGTTTCAAAACACACAAATCCTCAGTCTTTACTTATAATCAACAGCGATACTCCTTGTCCTATTTATATATAAAACGCTTAGTCCATGATGATAAAGTTTCTACTTCTCTGGCTATCTAATTTTGTCTATCTTGTACACTGTGAAAACACCATAGGAAATTGTATATAACCTAACTGAAAACACAGATCCGGGTGACTTATAAACAACCTTGTATATATAACATTGTAAAAAAAAAAAAATAAAAAAAAAAAACACACAACATTTAACTTTTGTGTAAATAATAACCCATAAACGGTGTCTGGTAAAATACAATGTGAATATGATTTTGTGTCCAAACACTCAAGCGAATTGTGGAAATGAAATTATATAGTAACGCAAAGTTCAATAAGAGCTCAGCAGTCAAAAATGGCCAATCAACTAAAAACAAATCCGGGCCGGCAACGAAACAAATAATGATTTGACCGTTGCTGGAGCTACGTCGTTCATGGTTTGTACGATTTTCTGACAAAAAAATCGCGCTTTGAGTCAAAGGCAACGTTGTGTGAAAATTTGAAAGCAATCGGTTTAGTAGTTTCCGAGTTAAAAAAGTTAACAAACTCGGAAAATAACATTTTTATTACTATAGAATTTTTTTTTTTTTAAAGTGAATTAATCCATGCATTTTATATACATATAGTCAATTAAAAAATAACTTGTCAACAATACCCAAAGTACATAATGTACTAATCATGTGAAGACTTTTAAAAATGTGCTTTGAGTCTGCTGCCGGATATCAGACTGACATAGAAAAACTGGTGAACTTCATTTCGTATGTCAAGCAAACAAGAACAGATCCCGGATTTTCAGATCAACATTGAATAAAAAAGAAAGGTTATAATTAAATACGCTACATGTTCTCAGCCTATAAAGACGTCCCCAGTCAGACAATAGGAGACGTATACTTACACAGAAAAGAGAGGGTTCTGTTTCGCAGTGAGAAGTCGCTAGGTGTAAGTGTATGCTAAGAAACAGGGCAATGTTCCTTGAAACCTATCAGCATGTTGAAACTGGTATAGACATCATATGATTATTTCACGCTACTGACACATGTTCTCGGTAATTCTCCCCAGTTATATGTCAGTTCGAATCTCAGTGTCCTTTGCCTTTTTTTTTTTTTTTTGCGTGTATAACAAAACTTCCTTAATAACAACTGGCTCAAGACGAACACTTGGTTAATATGTTGATAACATAATTTTTCGACCTAGTGGGGATATATAATATATTTATTAACCCCCGGTTAGCACGGACTGTTTTTAACCCGAATTCTTGATTTTTCGGTCTATTGAAATCGGCGTTAACGAAGTTTTACTGTATGATTCCACTCACCCCCCCCCCCTTCCCCCTGGTCCTAGAGCAGGGCCATTCGACTAAGTTTACGCAGGGGCCAGAATCCTGAAAAAAAAGGAATAGTCAGGGGCCAGAAGCCCGAGCTCCAGCATAGGAATATCACTAATACAATACAAATGGCAATGATTCGCGGGCCTCTTGCTAGGCCTCCTCTAGCCAGATTTGGCCCGCAGGCCGCCAGTTGAATAGCCCTGTCCTAGGGACATGTCTCAGAGTATAACCAAGCCACCCCTTTTTGTGTGTATTTTCAACATAGTTCTGTTTTCAAATTCGTCTTTATTAATTTGTTTACTTAATGTATCGCCTACTAAGCTCAGTCTTTACAAACCAGCAGGAAGACTTAGCAGCGGTCACATTTTTCTCTAGTTATAGTCTACCCTAAAGAAGAACAGTTTGTATTGCAAACTTTTCTTCTCAATCAGCCAACAGAAATATAAATACTAAATATTTGTACAAGATAACCATAAAAAAAGAAATAGTCGTATCAGGCGGAAATTAAATTTGATAAACCTGATATCATATATAAAGGACCGCATGCAACAAAGACATATTTGGGAACAACAGAGGCAATAAACTAAAAATATAGAATACTTGTGATTGACCATACATGTTAAAGGCTGAAGAAGAGATTGCTATAACAAATACGACAAATCCTGATATCACAACATTGAAAATGATAACATGAAACCTTTCAACTCTCCTCTCTTATTACCATTTAAAACTTTCCGTGTGCCACATGCTCTAGTTAAAGGAAGGCTGCTTCAAAAGTTCCCCGGAATAGCCGACCCATGTTTGAATTAGTAATTATGACCTGAAGATTATAGTTTTTTAAGTTACTAGTGAACTTTTCGAAACGACATGGCAGACGTCACCTTTACATTGATTCTTGAACAACAGTTACAGAAGTTTGTTGGTATCTTGTGCACGTATCATCGTCCCAGTTGAAAAAAAAAATCCTTGCTTGAGCAACGCACAAATGTCAAAGTTTGTATTTTACTTGAGAAGTGACCCCAGAGAGAATAAGTTAACTCAATAAGAAATATGGTGAGAACCGTAATAAAGAAATAGCCAGTGGCACAAGAGTTTCCGTGTTATTATAGATGATGATAAACATAGTGGATGACACTTGCTGCACTAAACAATAAACACATTGCTGTCAAGAAAATACCCTCAGAAGTTGGAATATCAGTTGGAAGTTGCCACTGAACTGCGCAATCACGTGTTTGTAATACATGGTTCACAAAATGTGATGAACAGAAAGACACGCTTGCAGGAGACATAATCGCGATTTCTTGTATGATCTTCTGAGGGAAAATCACCCCCATCTCCCCGGACACAGAAATAGCACTTTCAAGAGAGCAAAGGCAAAGTTCTGTTAGAAGCATCTATCAAATCCCTTGTGTTATTGTGTAGTGTTTCTCAAATTGGTCTTAGTCTCGGCGCCTTTTCTCAATTAAATTTCTTTCCACGGAGCCCAAATCTAATTAAAAGTATGACTATTTCTTTATTAACATTAAATTACTAATTAATATGATGGATGAGCCTGTAAATCTCTGCACATTTTTTTCCAAATCGTGGAATCAAACGAGAGATCGTGCACTGCTATAGTAGTACAACAAAGATGAGTGTTCGGCTTCCACAGTAAAAAAAAAAAAAAAATGTGCTTCCAATGGATGAGATTTTATCAAATTTACCGTATTTGCCACACATTCTAACACCTGATCCAGTGCAGGTCTTAGATGCTTTGATGCAAGCACTTTTCTATGAATAATGCAATCGGTCCACAGAGCATTTGGAAATTTGCTTCGAAAAAGCGCCTGTAATCCTCCATAGCAGCCAGACATGGAGCGAGCTCCATCAGTACAGACAACAACACATTTAGGTCATTTCAAATTATTTTCAGATATGAATGTATCAAGAATCTCAAATATGCCAAGAGCCTTCACTACTGTAGTGAAATTTTTACAAAACAGCAGGTCTTCTATAATATTATTACCATCTATAAATAGTACATAGCATATCGAAAGAGCATCCTTATTATTATCCTCGCCTGACTGCAATCTAAATTTGACTCCTTTAATTTTTTCAATTATTTGATCGTTGATATCCTCCGCCATATCTTGTATTTTCAGACTAATTGTGTTATCGGACAAAGGCACTTTTAAAAGCAGCTTCGCAGCAGACTCGCTAATCATGATGTTCACTATATCTATAGCAGCCGGTAGAATAAGTTTTTCTGCGATGGTATGAGGCTTCTTACATTTCTCGATTCCGTAAGCCACCTTGTAAAATGCCAACAAAGCGTTGTTTGGTATTGATGCTGTTTTAAAAATATTTTTGTTGTTGTTGTAGATGCAGTTCTTTTAACTTCATAGAAAAAAAAAATCACGTTTTCCAACCATGGTGTGGTGATTAGATTCTAAATGGCGCTTCAATTTACTTGGAAGCATACACTCTGTTGCCAAAACTTTCATACATAATAAATCATGTGATCTCTCTTCTCTATTAATTTCTGTTGACGTAAACCCAAACTCTAAATAACTGTCATCATTTTTACGATATTTTCGTTTCATCATACTCGTACCACTGGTTGAAGCATACTTTCTCTATCTGCACTAATACGTTTACTACTGTTCAAAATTCGGTCAATTATCAAAGATACAAGAGCCAACAATCACAAAACTATTTATCAAAGACAACAACAAGAAGTAATATATCTCTAACTAAATTACAAGCCCGGCTCTCTAGCGTAGTTGGCTATACCGGATTGTGCGGTGACCGGGTGAAGAACTCCTTGTGGTCCGGGTTCACTCCCGGGGGTAGGCAGAAAAGCCACATTTATCCCAGATTTACGGTATTTACAATGGAATCAAGGCCGAAAGGTTGCGATATCCATAATACCGAGCCTAAGGGTTAAAAACTCATGGCTTCTGGATACTAAAACAAACAAACAACAACTAAATTACAACAAAGCGCTGTGCTTAACTTCGCTAGACTTAAATTATAAGTAGACGTCGACTGACTGAATCGAGCCTCTCGCTTATATTCTTTCCGCAAGATAATTCAGAACATTCCAAATCTGTCTTGAAGAATCGAAGACGTGTCTAGTGCGATCAAATGGCTTGATTGAGAAGACGTAGCGTTGCCGGCACGCGTTCACAAGGATATTTAGGGCCACGCTTTTTTTCACACAGAGTCAAATAAAAAACAAATATATATCTATATATAAAATCTAGATATTATTAGCTTCCTATGTTTTTGTTTAGTTTTTGTCTTGGTTAAATTATGACATTTTTATAATACTTCACGGCCCCCTATGAAGAGTTCGCAGCTTCACGCGGCGCCTCGGCGCACAGTTTGAGAATCACTGA